ATTTTATTATTTTTATTTTATGTGTATGAGTGTACTGCCTGCATATAAGTGAGTGCACCCGTGTCGTGTAATGCCGCGGAGGTCAGAAGGGGGCTTTGGATTCCCCTGGAACTGGAGTTAAAGACGGTTCATAGCCATCATGTGGGTGCTGGGAATCGAACCTGGGTCCTCTGCAAGAGCAGCCAGTGCTCTTAACCACTGAGCCATCTCTCTAGCCCAGGTACAGATGATTTTTGAAGGGGGAAAAGCAACATGTTTTGCCTATGGGCAGACAGAAAGTGGCAAGACACACGTGAGTATTTAAATGTGGAGGAGAGAGCCCTTGCCTACAGTGCAACAGTAAGCTCTTGAGAAGGAAGAGAGTCCCCTTGGTACAGATGCCCCATCACCAGACACTCACCATGCCAGGTGTAGAGAGGGGCTGTAGCAGGTCCAGCCTCTTTCCTCTGGTGTGGCCTTTTTCCTCTGGTATAGGTCAAGACACTTCACCATGGTCATGTTCTGTTTTCTTTGGTAGACAATGGGTGGAGACCTGTCTGGCAAAGCTCAGAATGCATCCAAAGGGATCTATGCGATGGCATGTGAGTAAATGTTTACATCGGGATTGGGCATGGAAAGCAAGTTGCTTATACAGACTCTCCCTCTCAGCCCGGGATGTCTTCCTCCTGAAGAACCAGTCTCGCTACCGGAACTTAGACCTAGAAGTTTATGTGACGTTCTTTGAGATCTACAATGGAAAGGTAAACTGTTGAGCCCTTGGCTTATGCGTTTGGAGTTCCTGACTTTCAAAACCTTTCAAGTTGGCCGAAGTTAGAAGCCAAACATCCTGTTAGCTGTAGGCCTTTGGGGCTACCTTGCTTGGTGTGTTGAGAGGTTCCCTTTGACGTGAGGTGACACCCAAGCTTAAGAAGAGCAGCGATCTATCTACCTCCGGGCTCCCTCTCAGGTGGAAGTCTGCTGTGTCACCTCTCCTCCATTGACCCACATTGATGTCCTTCTGCCTGATTGGGCATGTTCTCCTGTGCACATCCTCCAGGCCCATCTCCTCCCTCCCTCCTTCCCTCCCTCCCTCTGTTCTCTGCTCTTCTGTAGAACTGCTTTCCCTGGAGCAGGACTGCAATAACAAATACAGTATTTATCGTTGATGGACTATTATATGCCAAGCACTATTTTAAGCTTTTGATTTGTCTTGTCCTTTTTATTTTGTGTGATGTGTGTATTGCATGCATGTAAGTACACCCGTGTCGTGCAGTGCCCATGGTGGACAGAAGAGGCCGTCAGATCCCTGGAACTGGAGTTAGGGACGGTTATTAGCTGCCATGTGGGTGCTGGGATTTGAACTGGGGTCTTCTGCAGGAACAGCCAGTGCTCTTAAGCGCTGAGCCATGTCTCCAGCTCCAGATTTGTCTTGTCTTTACAAAATGGAAATAGCTAGCTAGAGTGCTTCAATAACGTGCTCAGGTTCGTACAGATAAAATAACAGTTGAAGGAAACCAAGGCAAACTGGTTCAGATTCCAAGTATAGTGAGTGCCCTCCACTAGTCTGTTTATCAGCTCATATTCTCTCTGCCTCTCCTGGCCCTTGTCCAATCTGGGACAGGCTCTGTAGGAAAGAAGAGTCAGGCAGGGTACCCAGCACTATGACCTTAGGCTTATTCCCTCTGCCTGGTGCAGCTATTTGATCTGCTCAACAAGAAGGCCAAGTTGCGTGTCCTGGAAGACAGCAAGCAACAGGTACAGGTGGTGGGACTACAGGAGCACCTGGTTAACTCTGCTGAGGATGTCATCAAGATGATCAACATGGGCAGCGCCTGCAGGTCAGCATTCCAGCAAGGGGAAGGGGCCACTTGTAATACCTAGTGTAGGTCCTGAGGCCACTGGTCCAGAAGCAGCATGGGAGTGGGAGGAGGCAATTTCTTTTCCCACATAGTTCTACTTCCCCCAGCTGGGTAAGAGCTATGAAGGCCTCTTTTAGGGACCCACTGGGGCAGATAACCCAGGGCCAGAGGCTTTTCAGAACAAAGTCAAAGCAGCTTAAATCTAAGAAAGGCAGGCTTTAATTCACAGGCATACTTTCTTGGCATCTGTGAGATTCTCCTTGTTTTCCTTCTCTTTATGGTAGAGCTTAGGGGCCTTTGGTCTGTTCTGAGCCAGAAGTTAGGAGACCATAGCATCCCTGTGCAGTAGGGAAGTGCTGACATGTGGCAGTGAGGTGCTGGGAAATTATCGGACCTAGGGACAGGCTGCTCTCTTAGGACCCTTGAATTGTTTTTTTTCAGTACTGTAGGCATTAACCCAGAGCCTTACATTAGGTAGACAAGTGCTCTACCATTTTGCTCCATCCTCAGCAAGTGCCTTCAAGTTTGGACAACTGGCTTATGACTAGGCCACTTCCCTTGTGGTAGAGTCAACTCATCCTCCCTGTTTTTATGTACTCCCCTGGTCTGGATAAGGTCCTAGCACAGAATCCAGTACTGTTGTGGCTGCCCGAAAAATATTAGGGCAAGAGCTGGTCTCTTGGAGGGCAGAATAACGATTAGAGATGGGAAGACTTCTTAGAATCCTGATCTGTGTCCCTCCTTTACCATAGACTTTACTGCTATGCACTGGGATGGTGTAAACACTGGGATGCCCTGGAAGTACCAGAAATTCATGACCCTTCCTTTGCCTCTCTACTCCTTTGCAACAGGACCTCTGGACAAACATTTGCCAACTCCAATTCCTCCCACTCCCATGCCTGCTTCCAGATTCTTCTTCAAACCAAAGGGAAATTATATGGCAAATTTTCCTTGGTGGATCTGGCAGGGAATGAATGAGGGGCAGACACCTCCAGTGCTGACCGGCAGACTCGCATGGAGGGTGCAGAAATCAACAAAAGTCTCCTGGCTCTGAAGGTAGCAGACTAGCTAAAGGTGGCCTGGAAGACAGCTGGGAAGGGAGGGAATAGGCAGCATAAGAGGAAAGAGGCTTCCAATGGTTTCTGCTGCTCCACAGGAGTGCATCCGGGCCCTGGGACAAAACAAGGCTCATACTCCATTCCATGAGAGCAAGCTCACACAGGTGCTGAGGGACTCCTTTATCAGAGAAAATTCAAGGACTTGCATGGTGAGTAGAGTGACTTTGGAGGTGATGCTGCAGAGGACCCAGAGCTGCTTTCCAAGAAACATTTACTCCTGACCCTGGGCAACACCTCTGGGCTGCCTGCCTTCCCAGCCTCTTAACCGGGTGCCCACACCCTGCAGCCACCACAGTGGAAAAGAATCCACTCTGTGTGTAGGTATAGCTCTTGTTTTTAGCTCATTACTGCCTTACCTGTTTAATAAAGGAGTTCAGAATCGAGGAGTGAACCTTAGCAGAAGCAAGAGAGCAAAGTTCTCTTCCATGGCTTCCCTAAAGTTCCTTTGGTCCCATGCTGGCAAATAGGCTGGAGCATGAGGCTCTAGGCTCTAATGACTCCTCATCTCCTTCCCTACTTGATCTACAGGTTCTGCCAAGTAAGGTCTACCACTGTCGAGAACATAGCTCACCTCTTCACTATGAGTAAGGGGCCCTTTCATGAGGAAGGATGGCTCTAAGTTCTATCAGTAGTATTACTGCTACTACTTGCTTTTTTCCTTTCTCTCTCTGGCAGCATTGAGGATTGAACCCAGAGCTTCATATGTACCAGCCAAGCAGTCTACTCCTGAGTTATGCCCCAGCCCTCTAAGCTCTAAACTCTTCTCTCTGAGGCATCATCCCATGGCCTGAGTGATCTAAGCAGGAGCCAAGAATCTCTGAGATGTGACTTTGGTAGAGGGAATAAAGAGGCAGATGATAATTAGATCTGTCTTTAAAAGCAGGGAACCTAGCCAGGCTTCGTAGCCCACCTAGGGTCTCAACTACTTGGCAGGTGGAAGCTGGGACATCATTCAAGTCCAGCCTGGCAGTACAGGAACACAGACAAGGAACATTGTCTTGCTACGTAGCCCAGGCTATCTTCAAATTCATGGTGATCCTGAGTTCTGGGATTATAGCTGTGCTCTACCACACCCACCTCAGAGAGTGTTCCACAACCCACCCCACCCCCTTTTTTTTTCATTTGTGAGACAGGCCTCATGTATCCCAAGGCTGGCCTCAAACTTGCTATATAGCCAAGCATGACTGTACTTCTGATCTTCCTGTCTCTACCTCCCAATTGATGGGATCATAGGCATTTGCCACCACACCAGGTTTTGGTGTTATGGATTGAATCCAGGTCTTCACAGAGCACACTAGGCAGGCACTCTATAACTCAGGTCCATCCCCAGTCCCTGAAGCCAAGTGTTTTGTTTTTTTTTTAAATATAAGTTTTTTTCTTGATACAGGGTCTCCCTGTAGCCCCAGTTAGCCTGTAACTTGCTTGCTATGAAGACCAGGCTGACCTTGATCTCCCAGGGCTCCACCTGCCTCTGTCTCCGGAGTGCTGGAATTAAAGGCCTGTGTCACCATGCCCAGCCCCTAAAATACTTTTTTATATTGTGTTTTGTTTTTGATGCACACACATGCATATAGCATGGTGTTTGTATGCAGGGCGGAAGACAACTTGGAATTTCTCCTTCCACGTGGGTTCTAGAAATGGCTGAACTCATGTTGTCAGGCTTGGCAACAAGTGATTTTACCTGCCACCTTCTGGCCCCATGAAGCCACTTTTTAAAGGTGCCTTAGTTTGCATGCCTGTGGACAAACTGTCTAGCAGAGGAGGGATGCGTTGAGTTTCCCACTTCATCCGGTGGGGCTCACGTATTGGAAGGCAGTCTTCTGGCAGCTACTCCAGGAGCAGACTCGCTGTGCCTTCACCCTGTGACACTAAGCCCTAACCGCCATTCCCTCTCTCACAGATTGCCATGACCTCACCAGGCATAAGCTCCTGTGAATATACTTTAAACACACTACAATATTGCAGACAGGTATGAGTGCCTACAGCCAGGTGGAAAGGAGAAGGGCATGGAGTGGTGAGATGGGAGGAGGCTAGAGGGTCCTATACCGCTGATACTCCTCTGTGAGCAGTAATCTGCTGGGTCGTCCCAGTCTCCTTCGGTAACAGTCCAGTTCAGCTTGAGGTTTATGCCACTTCTTGGCTGAAGGCTAGCTACCTCTTACCCCGACTTCCCAAGCCTTGTCTGAGTGGTGGTGCATTCCTGTGGTGAGCGCCAAGGGGGCTGCTGGGAGATTTGAGATCTTCCTATTTCCTCAGAGTCAAGGAACTGAGCCCCAACAGCCAGCCCAGTGGAGAACAGCCACTTCAAATGGAAACAGAGGAAATGGAAGCCTGCTCTAATGAGACCTCAGTGGCAGGCAATGTAAGGTGGGAGGGCAAGATGAAAATGGCACGCCTTTGAGGTGGATATTGGGTCACAATCTTTACACTGTTGTCTTCCCTTTTGGCCTTCAGCTCTCCAAAGAAGAGGATGAGCTCTCTTCCCAGACGTCCAGCTTTAATGAAGCCATGACTCAGATCAGGGAGCTGGAGGAGAGTGCCATGGAAGAGCTCAGGGAGCTTATACAGGTGCAAACTGGCCCTGGTCAGGGAGGGATTGGATGGCCACTGTGGCATAACCCCCAGAGAACTGGAACATGACCTGGGCATTGCCCTGTGGGTTTGGGTTGGGATGGGAAGAAGCAGCCTTCTACAGCTAGCATTCCCCAATCTTCACCTGCTAAACTAGTTGTTCTAGAATGGCTAATGACCACATCACCTGGCACACAGGCTTTCCTATGGCTCTTAGCTGCTTCTGACTTGTGGGTGCAGAAAGTGGTTCATATACAGGGATCTGTCATTTATTTAGTGAGTGTTCCAGCTCCTGTGGTGAAACCATGGACGTGGAATACCAGGTGTAGTTAGCCCTGAAGTGAGACTTGAGGTTAATTGTCACTCTTCTAATTGGCTCACTCCCTGATGAAAATTTAGTTTCACTGGGCCTGTTTCTTTGTCTGGCCAGTCTCTGAGTTCAAGGCCAGCCTAGTTCACATAGCTAGTTCCGCACTAGTCAGGGCTACACAGTGATACCCTGTCTCAATAATAATAATAATAATAATAATAATAAATCATCCTGTTTCGCCTCCCTTCTTGCAGGGGCAATTCTGTCAGAACCACTGGGAGGCGGGACAGCTGACTGACACAGACACGGATCAAAGCTCTTT